GCTCCACCCCGTGCGGCGGCAGACGCACGTGCTGCCTTGTTGTTGGTGGTGGTGGTCATGGTGGTGGTGCCCCTAGCTTTTGCATCTCTAAGTGGCAATTTCGGCCCACAGCCCGCCCTTCCCCCCGAGACCTATAACGCCAAGATCTGAACATTAGAGTAGAACCGTAGGTAATTCAGCTTGAAACGGCGCAACGCCTTTGATAGGTAAGCTTCCCCTCGCTGAGGTGCTTAACCTCATCGTCGCTGTAGTGGCAGCTTGGATTCGAAGTCTAGAACCGTGGCGGTAATGCTGATCCTAGGAACAGCTTTCATCATGTTTTGGGACCTTGCTTGGGATCCGATGTGGCTCAGAACGTCTCGAATGCTCGTGGCTGAAACGTTCGAAGTACCTTACACAGGGCTTATGGTTAGGGTTTACGGTTTACGGTCTCTTGGGGTCTGCATTCTAGGTGATGCAGGATCGCCTGAAATCATGCAGAGCTGCTCCCCAGCTGATCAGCAGAGTCTGGTTCAAAAAGGTTCCTGGATTCCAGTGCCGCTCGACAACCCTTTGATGCAAAGAACGTAAGCTCATGCAGTCATACGGGTATTGCAGGCATAGAGCCGCCGCACACAGAAAGTCTGCAGCAGCAGTACTGAGATCCGTTTGCCACGAATCCTTGCCTGGCGTTGCCGATGCGGAGCATGAGCGAGGAACAGGCTCCCGTAAGTACAAGAAATCCCCACCCAGGTAGACACCTTTGCAGAAGCACGACAGAAGGATGTCCAAAACCTGGCCGAGGACGGTAGTAAGTGTCCAAGTTTGGCCGTACTCAGCGACGAGGGTCCACCATTTCTGCAGTTTGTACTTCGAGTAGCGTGGATAGTACATTCCTCCTCAGCCCCCGCAGGAGATGGAAACCGACATCGAAATGGACAAGAAATTCCTACAGAATCTGGGTGTCAGATTGGAGTTGTTCTTCTGGTATCTTCTGGTATACAGAACATCATTATCCTCATGCCTTTAAGGTAGACTATAGGGAATTTCAGCCCTATTCATCCTAAACCAATGTTCCAATTTTTTGGGGTTCACTATAAGACCGCCCACCCGCCATAAAAAAGAGAAATGGGAGCGCGCCTTCTACTGTACACCGTGAACAGAAACACAACTGCCCGTTCGATTGCAGTAAGCCGTGCACAACGGTAAACATGAGTGGACAGAGCTCAACACAACGGTGCCGGTAAGTTATAATTTATGATTAAGGAGGGGTTAGAAGTAGGATAACTATAGCTATAACTCCTTTACTAAAGGGTTCATATCCCGACTTATATCTACACATGAACCTCCAAGTAAGCCTTAAACCCTAACCCACTTACATGGGAAGCCTTATAGGCAACCTTACAGGAAGCTGTATAGGAGCCTTGAAATCCCTAACCCTAAACCAATGTAGGAACCCGTATAGTTCCAGAGTATCTCAACTGCGGGTTGGGGCCGCCTCCTTGTAAGAAGCTGTCGCCTGACAAGCGAGCTTATTCTATAAGGCAGTTTCTAAATTTACTATATAGCTCATTATATGTAGAACATGTGTTGTGTAGTATATCTTATTTAGAATATAGTATATAATATAAGCTGAGCCAAAATACAGCACACCCTACGACCTACGACCGACTGCAAGGATCACTTTATAACCCTACAGTCCTTTGCCGAGCCTACTATTCCGCGGAGTAATCCATGGCGCCTAGGAAGATCTTCGATCGCGTGGATGAAGACGGAAGTGCCTAGTTCTCGTCAGGTTTCTGGTTAGGGTTTACGCGTGAGGGGGTAGTGTTAAGGAGTTAAGAGTTCAGGGTCGAAGGGTGGGGCAAGAAAAGCATCGAAACACGAGGCTTGGAAACCTCACGTAGGCACAGTATCTCCCATGTTGAAAGGTTGTTTGGCTTTCTCTTGAACGACAGGCAACGTACAAGATACGCCGTACCTGACCCTGCCCGGCAACCCTGTACTCAAAACCTGAATCCAACCTGCACCTTCATGAACCCCGAGAACAAACCATGACATGAACTCCGAACTTCCACTCTGCTTCGACATCGAGCCGAATCTTTGTGACAATATGACTCATACATTTTGCTTCGATTTGTTTACGTGGGTAGATACGATACTTTCCATGAGATTTCACTGATACATCGTCAACAATCTTGGAAATCTCAGAGTACCGGTTCTTCAGGATGAACCTCAAGTACTCCACTCATGGCATACACTTAGTGAAATGCCACAGGCCCATAGAGAAAGGGCATACAAGAGCAATCTTTGGTGCTTCCTACACGCTCCAAGAACCTGGTACTCTTATGCTTAGTCTGCCTGCCACGATTATCCAGCTCATTGTTGCTAAGCTACTGCCCCAATCTCACGATAGCTTTCTCACGTTTACTGTAATGTCGAACGACTATTTACGATGTTGCTGCTACTTGTTTTGGGGAAGGGAGGGGGGCGGGGTGATGTGCGAAGGGCTGGAAGACATGTTGCCCAAGCCGAAAGCGCATCGTGCAAGTCTTGCCTGGAGAGTCCGAGAAACTCCCGATCCCTCCAAACGCAACCCAAACACTCCATCCCAACGCCCCCCGCAAAACAAAAAAGCCTAGAACGGGGCGATTAAAGCACCCAGACACACACCTAGAGCATCCTAGAACCTGAATGACCTGAATGACGATGGGCAGGTGGAGAGCTGACACTCAGTGAGCTTATTGAAGGGGCCAGGAAGGTCATTGCCCCAGAGCAGGGTCTTCGGGTTTAGGGTTTAGGGTTTAAGGTTTAGGGTTTAAGGTTTAGGGTTTCGGGTTTAAGGTTTAGGGTTTCGGGTTTAAGGTTTAGGGTTTCGTGTTAAAGGTTTAGGGTTTAGGGTTTAGGGGATAGTTTTCCTGAGCAAGGGATGCAAGCGCAGTCATGGGAGCTGAACTTCTGCAGGCTCAGACATTCAGGCGATTGCACAAGTCCTGATGCAAAAAAGGGCATACCCATAGGCTCCATTATAGTTCCGTTCCTTGATTGTGGTTTATATATAGGATCCTATAAGGTAATCCCAGCAAGGAACTCATATGGAGCCTATGGGTAGAGGCAGGGCTGAAAAAAGTGTTTGGGATTCAGGTGTTAGGTTTGAGGGTCCTTCCCTGACCCAGGGGTTTACACATGTGGCGTTGGTGCTTCAGGGCTTACTTTGGGCTTCGGTTCATGTTTATCATAATGCAGTCCTGAGGGGTATGTGCTACGTGTTCTGTTTTGAGGTGCAAGGGATCGCAGTGACAGGTTTAGGATTCGAGGCAGAGTTTTTAAGGCTCCTTAAGCCCTCAGCCCTTTAGGGTCTGGGTTTGGGTTCCCAGGGTTTTCGGTGGAGCCCCGGACCTGGAGTTCTATGCACACCCTTGATTGAGCCCTTAAGGGTAACCCCGAACGACTAGCCTGAACTTGAAAGGCCCTGCAGCTCTTCCAGAAAAAGGGCCCTAGACCCAGAACGTGTAAATCTACCCGAAACCTTGGACCCTACAGGCCGCCACCCTTGAGACAAAACTACAAAAATAAATAGCTGCACCTGTGCTTGGAGTTATCAGCCCGGAATCCGAACCATCCAAAAATTCTAAAGCCTAATACTAGCTAGACTATGCCCAGACGCCTACAGCAACTCTACAGGTCTATGAATCATGTTTGCGCACTCTTGCAGCGCTCAGGATACTGAGTTCCAGAGCCGCCTCCGTGTCATGGATATCGATGAGGCCGGGCACGGGTTTAAGCACTCCTTTAAGGGGTGCCAGATAGGGTCGATTTGGGTTTAGGGTTTATGGTTTAGGGTTTGGGTCGATTTGGGGGTTTCCGAAAATCGGGGACCCTAATACAGTACCCCAAATGGTAGGATCCTTGTTTCAAGGGCCCCCAAATAAGGCACCCCTTGTTTTCGGAAACTCCCATCTAAGGGTCCTATGAGGGATTCCGGTCGGCAGGGCTTAGCTTTGACTCAGCGCAATTGAAATGGTTTGAAATCCAAATCTCGTTGCAGTCCATGTTAGCTTCGTTTTACATCCGAAAGCCCTCACCTCGATTTAGGGTTTGGGGGGTTAGTGTCGAAGTTTTTTTGGGGTTTACGGCTTAGGATGATGAGAATCTCACTGTGAGGCTGACTTGCAGCAGCTCTTTCAGATGATCGACGCCGACGGCCCCACGACAGCACCTGACAGTATCCTCAATCTCTGTTCCTTGTGGTCGTGTGCTTTTTGGTATTGGGTTACATGGGTTCAGGTGCTTATCCCCACTCAGGGTCGGCCTGACTTCAACGATGACAGCAGGTGCCTTAAATGATTCTAAATGTAGTTTCCCCGTCAAAACTTTCTCTGGCTTCATACCCGAAGTTAAAGTCCCACCAAGACAGGCCGAATCTAAGCCTACCTGAGGGTTCATGATGCGGCTACAACATGCTTCAACTATCCTTATAGGGGTGCAAACTCGCCATAAACATATTTAAATATCTATAGCGTACTAATAAGTCCGCTGATGACTGACATGAAGAAGACGCAATGTACGTATCTGTGGAATTTACATAATACTTTGAATGATGGATTTGCGTGCCTTGGCGTATTGCCTTTTGCCCATGGCCTGGCCACATGTGGTACAGCCACGAAGCGCTAAACTATACACAGCAGCAGCGATATTTTCTCATATTTACTTTCGCCAGATTCCGGCACTGTTGAGCGCGACGAGTTCATCGCGCCGCTTAGCCGGTGGGTTCACGAGTCCAAGCGCCACGGCGAGAAGTTGAATTCTTGGGGGGGGTTCGTCGGTATTTCTGGTGTACGGGTGTAGCGGCTCACTAACCCTGAACTTGTAGATGTTGATCAACCATCCAACCCTGTACTCTGCCTTCTTCGGGTCGTTGCCTCTTTGTTGATGCTGTTTTTGACCTGTGGCAAATCGGACACTCGCTTAAGACTTCTAGCCAGGGGCTCTTTTTTTTGTGGTTGGGGATTTGTAGTGCGGTTCATAGTTTAGGGGTTAGGGTCTATGGTGTTCCAGGATTTCGATATCTTTAGGGGCCTGGTAAATTCTAGGGACCCGGACAGGGATAATCACCTGGAGGTGGGAAGGGGGGGTTGGGGCTTAGGGCTCGCGGTTGCGATATCTTCTTCCACGTCTTCGTATCGGGCTCTATAGGGCGTTGTGTTCAAGAAGGGATGGGTGTGGGATTGGGTCGAACCTGCAACTGGCCTTTACCAAGTTCACATGTTGGGAGTGAATATAGAAGCCTGTGCTTGACCAGAGTATCCCAAAGGGCTTCTTATTATAACCTCTTTCATGTTAAAAATTCAAGCGTGTCTAAGGGTTCCGCCTTAGCTTTAAATTATGCTCTAATATACACCCAAACCCAATTCAAATTCTGAAGGCCCTAGACTACAAAGCACCGAGGCCTCCCAAACGAATTCTCGCAGCAAGTGCATGGTGGACTTAAAGCCCATGGGCCCAAAGCTAAGATCCCCTATAAGAACTCTTTGGAGGGTTTGGGGGGAACCCCCCCCCCCCCAGTTCTAAACTCCGAGGCCTAAGCTAGAGCCCCTATGCTACAAGAATAATTTCCGAGTTCGGGATTAGGGTGGGGGCGCACAGGATGTTCATGATCTCAGGGGTCCAGAGACTGGAGTAGTGTGCTGTGGATCTCTTCTGCAGTCCACGCGTGCGCGTGCAGAGCTTTGATACATCTAAGGTCCCAAACTAGGTAAGCCCCCCCCAACTAGTTGTGACCATCAGGGGTTTTGACCTTTAAGATAAGGTCTTCCGATGAAGTTCTCATGTTCCGAGTTGAAATATAGAAGCTTCAATACTGGCCAATATTACTCATTGGGGTTGCTTATGTTAAGTATACCATAAAGCAGCCCAAAACCTTGTTCTTCTAATCATTAAGGCCCCTGCCTAGGACCGCTCCTCGCTTCATCAAGTACAACCTTATGCGATCCTTGCACGAGCAAGAGCAGCTTCTCGATTCAAGTCAGCCTATGTGAGGCAGGTTTTCGTAAGCTTCTTGCGGTTTCAACACAGCCGCCCCCTTGCAGTCGCTGGGTTTAGAGTTCCCCAAACCCCAAACCCTAAAGGGAGCTCATTCTACAGGTCTTGGCCCGGTTTTCGGCTTACTTGACCCGCGGCTTAACGCACGACAACTACCACCCGTGCCCCGCGCTGCCCACACTCGGGATATTCCTCGCGTGTATTACAGCCTTTCAGGGAGTTCATGGTGTTTGGAGATGTGAGTAGGATCGAGTTTGTCCACTTCCTGGAAGCATCACAGCTGGATTTTCGCCTTGTGCCACGAGGCTGAAAAAGATCACTGAGGCGAGATTCGCAGCTTGTCTTGAACTTGAAACATAGCTGTCAGAAAGACAAGGGGCCCTAGTACTAGTGTAGACACTACGCAGTGCGCAGTGGGAGCATTTATGATAAAGACTCCAATAACTTCAACAAGGTCCCTGCAGTGTGCAAGCTTCGTAAATCCGACCAGAAGTGGCCAGGGCTCCAACACGGGAAGTCGCAAGCAGTGTTGTAAGACTCGCCTCCTGCTTTTGGGTTTAGTAAAATGAGAAGGTCTAATTGCGGTGTCCACATGCTGGTTCAACCGTTCTTGAATTGTTGATCTCATGCTCGCGCGCTGCGCTTCTCCGTTCAGTCACTCTATGCCATGCCACTCCGTTCCGCAAAGCTCCACTTACAATCTACTGACTGCTCCTGCCGCGTGGTAGCCAGCTGCATGTACAGCAACATGTGAGATGTATGTTATCGACGGTACGATGAAAGCTGGCTATAAGTCCTTTGATATGGGATATGGCTGACGCCTTTTACCCTTGTGGCTCTCAGGGGCTTAGCATCGAATTTCCCTGGCTAGAAAACCAAATCTCTTGTCATTCGGGTGCCTCTAGCCTTTGCGAACAGGCTGGGTGGCGCGGGTTGGCCAAGATCGGAAGAGAGTTCATTCGGGCTGGCCCTTGTTCCAGACAGCATACGTCCCTCCCCGATTTCAGAAGGAGAAAGGGGACCGTAAAGAGATTCCCTTTGCTTGCAGAGTCTATCTAGGCGACCGCATAAGACTCTATAGCACCGCTGTTCTTCCCATGAGATGGTTCACAATGTAGCCACTGCTTTTTCCCATGGTTTGTCAGTCAAGCACTTGACCTTTTGCCCCGCGGTCGGCATCTCGACGATCCTGAAGCTCAGGACCAGATCAACTCGCACATCCAAAGGCCTCCTGCAACCCTAAACCCTAAACCCTAAACCCTAAACCCTGCAGTAAAGGTGGCAGTTCGTGGGATGTAGCTGGTGTGCCTCAGCACAGTGTGGCAGCCCTGAGACGTTCTCTGCATGGTGACCCGCCCTTGAGCACGAGTATAAGTGAGAATGTTTGTGCTGAGCAGTGGCATAATAGCCCGCTGACAGTGCACCTACAGTGCATGGTTGAAGGCAACGTATATTTTTTTGAAACAGAAGCAGCAAACTCGC